GAAGATGAAACCTTCCCAATTCTAGCTGAAGATTTGGGTTTTCCGTTATCAATAGTTAAACAGAAAAAACTAAATTAAAAGACTAGGAACAAATAGTTTAATTAAGACCTCTTTGTGATAAAAAAAAAAAATCGTTATTATTTCAGTTATTGTGAAAAAAAATTTCATAATATTTTCATTTTTTTTTAAGATGGTGATTGTATGTATAACGTTGATGTACGCTACGCCAGACTGGTCTATTGTGGTTCACTAATAATTATCATAGATTTGAAAATATATGAATTATGTTAAGTTGTTATAAATATAAAATAATGTTAAAATGGAAACTAACATGGTATGAGCCAGGGACATGTTCCAGAAGGGAGGCCAACAATAGACAGGCCTGAGGTTAGTGAACTATTCGCAAGGCGCTGAATTATACCATACCGCATATCATTACCGCTTCAGGTTAAGGAGTAATGTTTATCACTTTTCGGTTTCTCTGGTTTGGAGTATAATTTATTTTCATTCAGTTTTATTTCAAAATATATATTTATATTATTATTGCTGTTGTTATATATATATACACGATAATTCGGAACGTCATTACTGCTTCGGAATGCAATTCCGAATGACCGTTTAGGGTCCACTTTAGCACTGCCTAACTTTATTGCGGCCTCTAAAGGCCGGTCCACACGCTCCGTTTTGCACAACGTTTTGTCTGCGCAGTCTTAAGACGGAATGAAAACGTTGCAATTTGCAGAGCGTCCACACGGCACAGACATATCCGTATATTTTGCTCAGTTTTGTGTGAGATCCTCATGGAGGAGGTACTACTCTGGTCGATTTTCGCGATGTGTATTGTTAAAAAAAAAGATTGGAACATCTCAGAAGTACCCGGCGTTCAAAGTGTATACTTGTATATTTCGTCTTCTCCAGCCCCAGATCGAATCGATTTATTTATTTTAGCCAATTCTTTTCGGTACACGCTTCTCAATGAATTTATTTTTTTCACAACTGTCTCCCGGTTTGCCGTTACATCAATTTCTCTAAATTTACTAGCTAAAATTTCATACGCCTCCGCCTTCTTATTCCTGTCACTGTATTCTTTTGATTTTACACGCCAAATGCACGGGAAACTTTCATACAGAGCAATAAAATCAGTTAAAAACTCCCTAGAACATTGCCGAAGGTCAGCCATTGTCGCCCGACGGATTGAAACTGAGTAGCAAAACGGATCGGAAAACGGTGCTACCGTCCACATGCGCCGACTTGTCTGCGCAGTTCAAGGAAATCTGAGCTGTCTGGCTCAGTTTTACTAAGACTGTACCGTCTTCCAAATGGATTCAAAACTGCACTGTTTTCCAGTCCACACGCAACGTTTTATCTGCAACGTTTTGAACTGCGCAGACAAAACGTTGTGCAAAACGGAGCGTGTGGACCGGCCTTAATGATAAAAAAGGGTTCCCAACCGATGGTTTACGATGTTCTTTAACTCGCAGACATGAGCTGCTAAGTCTGAAAATTAAAAAAATGTGAGTTAAAAGGTTCTGGTGAAACATCATCCCAAAAAGAATTTCTATTCTCTCCCCGGTTAACTGTATATATTGTAGAGAGAAATTATGGGATTGAAAACAGATTCATACTATCTTATCAAGTATTTTATGATTAATTAAAAAAATGTAGACAATTTTGTTTTGAAATTGTTAATCAGTTTCAAAAAATAAATTTGATATAAATCTATGAAGGCGTGCAGTAATCAGTGAAGGTATATTGAATATAAGAGAAGGGCGGCACGGAACGATAATACCCGACGAAGGCACAAAAAGCTGAAACCACGTGCGCATTCCTCCTAGACCAGGTCAGGCCGCACATCTGCCGCAGGGTTCTGCGCCCATCTTCCTGGCGGCTCCAATGTTTGCGCGCCTTCTCTCACTTGGTCGGGATATGTCACCTGTCAACCTTATCTAGCACTTATGAGAAATAGTGTCTAGTACTTATTTAGCCCGAATTTTTTTTTTCTCTCGTTTTTTGTAAGTTAACGCCCGTATAAATTTCACCTTTAACCATCTTAAGATTTGCGGTCATTAATTAAAGAAAATTTCACTTTACTTAACCTAGTCTACTGCTTATTATAGAATTGTTTTTGTTATTTTTCGATTAAAATTTATCACTCAAAAGCTATTTCAACTTGAAATATTTTGTTCTTTGTAGGTTCATTCTTGGGATTTCATATATATAATTTTATCAGTTTCTAATTTTTTATATAAGCCAACATAAAACCGATGTTTTCACTTCCACAATCAACTACGACGTTTCGGTTCATCGGCAAATTTTCAAGTCTAAAAACAATTTTTCCATTCACAGTCATATCTAATATTCTTTTGTTAACTTTTCATGCATGATTATTTGTATAATCATTGACATATTAAAAAAAAAATACATATTTTAATTTTTTTTTTTTTTTTAATTACATATCATTTACTTGTCCATTACATTTCTTATGTAAAATATACGCGTCATCTCGTAATAGCCAGTATCATACTCGTCACATCTATTTTTAACTATTACATTATTTATTATTGTTAAATTTATTGTTAATCAAAGATTATATAATATTGAATTACCATATTATGTGTCAGGCCCACATGTTGTCAGTTTCATTGTTGCAAAGCGATTAGTTGTTATTACAGGAGTGGGGAAAATTATTTTGGCTCATATAAAAAATTAGAAACTAAAAATATATACGGCACCAAAATAAAAGATAATAATATTGAGAATATAACATTTTAGTCAAATTTCTCCATTCATAAAAATATGAACACTCAATTTTAATTTAAAAATGTTACTCGGTATTTTTGATTTTTGTACTTTTTTGTTATCAATTATTCCCAATTTAATGAAGAGTTTAAAACCATTGTTAAAAAATTTACACCACCCATTTAAATTTTTATTTCGACGGAAAACATGTATTGGGAAAATATCTATAAATATGGTATTTTATTAGATATCAAACAAAAATAAAAACTAAAACCAAACGATTTTTGACTCGATAGTTGTGATTTTTTTTTTTTTTACCACTTTCGTCAATACTTAACGAATGTATTGTGTGGATAAAAAATTTGAAGAAAAACATCATCGTAGTTTTATTTTAATATCTGCAAAAATACCTGAGTTTGATTATATAAGATATGCTGATACGTTTTCTCATTATTCAGCCATATTTGTTGCTTTATAACTAATATAGCCAGTTGAGTCTCATTGACCAAATACGTGTCACACTTTTCTAACATAAAAAAGTATTAACACTATCAATTTCATAATTTTTTACTTGGTACACAAAATTTGTCGAAAACAACTTTTCAATCGACAAAGCACATTTTGGATAATTCCTACTTAAAAAATAGGTTTTTAAGATTAAAATTTCTTCAGCATGTAGCTCACTATAGAAAAAAAAATCAGTTTATTTTCATTAATAGATTTGTAAAGCCCTAAAAGTATCTTTTTGTTCATTTTCATGAATTTTTTTAAACCTCTTTTCTGTTTTCTTAAATTTTATAATTAAAATTTTATTTTTGTTTGTTGTCTGTTTGTTATATTTGTTTAAAAAAAGAGTTAAAAAAATGTTTTCATTCGAAAAACTAATTCAAAATGGCCGCCAAGAAAAATTTGTAAACCTTTAAAAAATTCTAACTATAGTTTTGAACTCTCCATTAATAATAGGGTATAAATAGTAAAAAAAAAATTAAAAATCAAAAATATCGATCTATGTCGTCTGGTTGATTTCAAAAGGATTGACAGATGTTTTTAATACCTTTAAAGAGCTGGATTTTTTTTTTTTTTTTTTTCATGCATTTACTTTTAATTTTAATAACTAAAATTTATTTCTCCTACTTTCTTAGAAGCGCCTCTTGGTTTCTGTAATTGATGATACATTAGAACTCATTTTAATAGAATAGTCAATATTTTTTTCTTATTCTGAACAAAAAAAAAAAAAGAAATCCGGGCAAATCTTGTTCTTATTAGTATCAGAAATCTTATTCTGAACCCTATAAATCCGGGCAATTCAAATGTAAAAATAAATAATATAAATTTTGTATGATATATACAATCTTTTTTTTCTCGGATCCTGAGGTCCATTGGAACGAATATATTTATCTAACATTTTTCGACTTAATATCACCAAAAATAATTTGGTTCAAATCGGTGACCCACTGACTGTAGCCTCCGCTTGTTACTTCAGAATAAAAACATATTTTAACTCCCATCATCATTAATTGCATCGATCGAGAAATGTGTACCGGGAATTTGAGCATTTAAAAGGAAGACCACTTATAAAAATTCAGAAAATTAATATAAATTGTGTGTATAGTTCTGAAATCTATTGTCGATAACATGTAAGTAACGTTCCCGATTGTTTAAGACGAATTAATTGGTTTGAAATGATTTTTTTATAAAAATTTTACTAATATAAAAATATAAACAGCTCTCCCATCGTTAGAGTCTGATATCAAAATTCAATAATACTTTATAGTTTGTTTGATTATAAAAACTCTGTTTTGAAAGCACGCGAAAAAAAAAAAATCAATTATGATGGATTACTCTGAAGAAAGGACGGTGACATTGAACCAATCCATTCAATAGATTCTATTCATCAGTTCCTTAAACGTGCTATACAATGGAATAGCGATTTCTATTACTATATATATTTTTTTTTATATTACTGGATCTTTAGATTTACTTCTTCGCTCCGTTTATATAAGTTTCTTTACCTATATGTGTAGGTAATTCTTCCAAAAGCGACAACCTTGTATGATGAACAGATTATGAAACGAAATAAATAAAAAGGTTTTTTTTTTTAACTCCTTTCAGTGGTAACCTCAAAATCCTCTCTATTTTTTAAGTTTAATCTTAGAATGTCATAGCTTAGTGTTTAAGTTATATTTTAAGTATCTTTATTAATTATATTTATAATTAATTCTGAATAATTAATGCAAAGTTTGTAAATAATTAATGTAAAGTTTGTTTTAGGGGGATGGGATGAGGGAAGGCGAGGGGCCTAGCATGGCCCTCGACTATTACACGACCAGCGTTCTCCGCTCCAAGGTATCGACTGCACTGAGGAGTTCCTATAGCGACAGGTAACTTGTTATTTTATTTTTGGTAACCTGTTATTTATTCTCAATAATAACATAAGCATAGTCTCCACCTAAGATTTATTTTTTCTTATGGGGCCGGTATACTTTGTAGTTGCTCAGGTATAAGAGTACTGATAAAGAGGTATGAATTTATAAACCGTTTCTCGACTCGGTTGCTAGATGGTTGTTTATTTGGTTTCGATTCCATTATATCGAACCAGTATAAATTTCCTTTCCTAAATGAATTAATTAAGGATAGTTCAGTAGAAGCTTTTTTAATGTAGAATTGTTTAAGTTGTAGAGACGCTTCTATTTTTAAAATTTTCTATTTTATTATTATTGTTTGCTATGATTTCTAATGTATTTTATAAATTACTAACTTCTGATAATTGATATTTAACATCAGTCTCCCTTAAGATTCAATCTTATTTCTTTATTATTGATTCAAAAAATATTTTTTAAAAATATTATTAAGGCTTTCCTATTAAGCGAAAATTCAAATATGCTGATATAAAAAATATGCTTATTAATGTTTTGGTAAATGACCAAAAAAAAATTTGTTTATTCTATTGGATTGGCAAATAAGTCCTTTCGGTTTTTCTGTTTATTTTTATGTCACTATGATAAACTTCTTATCTGATGAATTAATCCTTATTAAGGTGGATTGTTTATCCTGTTTGTAATTTGTCAACAACTATATCTGTCTGTTACCTCTTGTTAAAACTAGCTTAGTATTGTGTTTGCTATTGTACTGTGAATATGGAAGAAAATAAGTGTGCTGCAAATGCTCGTATAAAAATTTGCTGTGATTATTTCATTCGGGAAATTTTTACATCAATGATGCTCAACGGTCTGGTCGCCCACACGAAATTGAAACGAATAATGTTAAGGCCATTTTTGATCAAAATTCCACCCAATCAGTGCAAAAGATTGCTATGGCCCTAAATGTGTCGCACACAAGCGTAGAAAACCATTTGCAAAAGCTCGGCTATGTTTCCAGGCATAATATTTGGGTCCCTCATATAATTTTTTTTCTCGAAAATCACAAAAAAAAAATGTTATAACTTCAATCAATACTTCTTTAGCTATCTACAAGAAATTTAGCAGGAATTTAGGACCACATAAACTAAACAAAGTGACACCAACAGGACCTTCGTTAACAAACTAAAAATGGAGATAAAAAATAAAAACCTATAAGGAGTTTTTGTTTATTTATTCCTCGTGTAGACATTAAATCAAATAATCATTCATACCGCAGGAATGATCAGAAGGGTGTTGTGTTCTACCAAGACAACGCTATAGGCCACACAACTCATTGGTCACACGCAATAAATTATTGAGCCTTGGATGGGACCTTTTGTCCCACCTTCCCTATTCACCAGACCTAGCTCCAAGTGACTACCGCTTATTCCGGTCTTTGCAGAACTCCATGAATGGAAAGAAATTCCAAAAGGAAGAGGACATCAAAAACCACTTGGATCAGTTTTTTAACAACAAACTTCAGACATTCTATGAACATGACATTATGCAGTTAGTGGAAAGATGGGAAAAAGTATATTAAATAATGGTCAATATATTGTAGATTGAAATAAATTTTATATCTATAATACATTGAGTTTTATTTCACCCTGAAAAACCGAAAGGACTTATTTGCCAACTCAATATAAATATCAATTTATCATTATAATTCATCCTACATTTTCTTATTAAGCATTATCCCTTGTGAAGTACGCATACTGACTATTTCCGCAGTAAATCCATTAAAACTGTAAATACATTTGCGTATGTAGATTTTGACAAGAGCTTTTTGAATAAATAAAAATCATAAATTCGAATTATGAAACGTTATCTCGTTTCGAATTTGAAGGAAAATCTTTCCTATTAAATTTACTGTAATTGTTATCCGTGATCGGCGATCGACTTTTACGACATTTATTATTTATTTGTGTATTCACGTAGATACAACTTCTTTTTTTGGTTTAGTAATTACTTTAAAACGCATCTTTAATGAGAAGTTAAGCGAAAATTTAACTTTCTTTCTTATAACAATTTCAAAATTATTTATAAAATGCGGCGATCATTAAAGCCAAACCGAATCATTTGAAACGAAAAACTCTTTATTGCTAAAGAGTCTTATTTCATGAATTAAAAATAAATTTTATTCAGCAACCTAAAATATATTATCAGCCTTTAAATTTCAATTTTTGTATTAGCACTTATGAAAAAATTAAACGAAAGTTCACCAGATTGATATTTTGTTAAAAAGGCTTGTAAATTTTGCTTCTGACAAATCTGAATAAATATTTTTTACATATACAGGAATATAGCTAATTAAGGATATGAAGAAGTGATTGTGACCTTGTTCATTAATGGGCGCAGGATTAAGGATGTTACCATCTTCTTGAGCAGCCTACGTTATGGACACGAAATTCGATATGCAGTAAGCCACGCTGCTCTAAATGTCACCGATTCGCCAACCCCTTCGACGAAGGAAAGCCGTCTAACCGTTTTACGTGCAGCCACAAAAGGCGGACTCTTCGAATATAAGGGAACAAAAGCCCCTTGAAAAATTCGGCCATAACAAGCCTGCCCGATACGGGTTCCAATTTCAGTCTGAGGTCAGCGAGTGTTCCGCGGAATTTGGACCGCGTTGAATGAGTTCATGTCGACAAAAAAAAAATTAAATCCTTGACTAAAAATGACCACAACATATCATCAAATTTATTTCAACACCACAAAACAGAGATGGACATTTCTGATATTTTTAACCATTTTAATTGTTAGCTAAAACAAATTTTCAAACATTTTAAAACATCTTACTTAAACTCTAAGGGTTTCTTTTATATTGTTTAGATCCTTTTAATAGACTTGCAGATAAAAAATAAAAACGTTGTAGTTTTTATTTATTTATTCCTTATGAAAGGATATTTTCTAAAAGTTATTGTTATAGTTTTGAAAAGTAATAATTTAACTTTCCAAAGGTTGTAGTAAGGTTGATTTAAGAGACAATCCTGAGGAGTTATGAATGATGATTAGTAATCGGCATGAAAAAATGTCCTGCCATAAAATTAAATCCAAATATTTATATTTTTTTATTTCTAAACGAACTCATGTTTAAGCATTTAAGTAGACGCTAAAAATGATTGTGAATAGTTTTTTCATGATAAAAATTTACGTGGCCTACTGTACTGGAAGTGTCTTTGTGTTTTTCTTATTTAAAACAAATCGATTAATATACACTAGATCACTAGCGGATCCAGGATTTAATTTTTTTTTGGGAGGGGGCGTCAGCACGAAGGATTGTTTTATTCATATATATATATATATATATATATATATATATATATATATATATATATAAAACGATAATTAATTTGAAAAAAAGAAAGAAACTAATTACCCATATGACATGGTGTCTTGGTGATTCTTGAAGTCCTATTAAATGTAATTACACGAACAATAGTAGTTTAAGGGATAGTTTTTAAATATTTTTTTCTAATATTGCTATGGTTATATTTTACCATTTTTAGAGGGGGGATTGGAGTTTCAGCCCGAAAGCTCCCCCTCTCCCCGTAGATCCGCCTGTGCACCAACTTAGAAATCCATGCAAAGTAAAGTCAGGAAACGATAAAATAAAAAAATTACAATTTTTTTTTTCTCTTCTCCTATGGCGCATTGGTAAGAACCTTCGGATACGAATCAAATATGTTTCGGCCCAGTTTCACCAAAAAAAGTTTCGTATAAGTCGAAGACCCCACGTCTGTAACCTCCCCTTGTTGGTGTGTTTCACCTGTAACCCCATTGTTTTTTAAAGAATAACGAACGATAATGAACAATTTCTGTATTATTACTAAAAGTATCATGGCTCAAATTGGGAATTGATAGAATGTACTAAAACAAACTAGTTTATGATAATTGTCTTGGTAGGGATAGCTTTCATGCCATCTTTAGGAGATTTGGTTTGTTTTTTTTTTTTCTTCTCTACCTCGCCTTTTAGGCTATACGGGATTTTCCTTGGCCGGAGGGTGAGGACGGGGAATTTAAAATTCCCTCCTGCACCGGGATGCCAACTCATACTATTTAATCTTCTCAAATCTCTTATCCGGTTGCCAGGCAACTCGCGGTGCAGTGCACACACTTTAGCCCATTCGGCCACCCCGCCCCCCTTTAGGAGATTTGCTGTTTCATTCTAGCTTAAAAAAATGTAATAACCTTAAATTATGTGATTTTTATACGTTTTATTCATCATTCTTTTAGAGAGGTCCCATTTTGAAACCCTGCCCCTGTGAGTGGGTCTGCTCAAGTGTAAATTGAATGCTGAGGACTAAAAGTTTTCTTCAAATATGTCACAAAATTTTGATCCGGGTCTTGGACTTATTGTATCTGTATGAATGGATCTTCGGTATTATTTGTTGGACTTCAAAATTTTGCCTATGTCCTATGTAACTTACAAATCTTATTCACATTCGTTGATCGTCCATTTTGGTTTTTGATAATTGAGAATTTTCAAAAGGACCTTAATTAAAACAGTAATGGAGTGTCTTTTTTAAAAAGTTTAACTGTAGCACCGAAATCGCCATGCTTGGCTAAAAGTCATGGATGATTTTTGCTTCAGATAGAATAGTCTAATTCATAGTCTCACAGGCTAATTTAAAAAAAAAATAGTGTTATAAAAAAAATATTAAATTTCCAGATATAAACGAGCCATCCAGGTGGCGTTGGTTATTGCCCAAACACATTCGTTGCGGGTGCCAATTACGGAGCCGTTATACGGGCTCAAAATTAATAGAAGAGTAATAAAAATCAATTCCAGAACGACATTCATGTGGGTTCATCAAGAGGAGTGCCCTCTGGAACGGCACTTTCAATTAAAACAAACGATCCAGGACTGATTTTAAACTGCAATCAACCTTATTGTAAAGGCGCTTTGATATTTTATTCAGAATTGCCTTTCTAAGTAATGATGATGGTTGAGTTTTAGTTAATTTCTGTTAGTAACCATTTATTGAAAGGAGCCAAGAAACAACAAGTGTTAATTTTCGAAAGAAAATTTATTTTCATGATTCTTATCTACCTCTAGATAATTGCACCCATTAAAAGAACGACATTCATGTGGGTTCATCAAGAGGAGTTCCTTCTGGAACAGCAATTTCAATTAAAACAAGAGATCCAGGAATGATTTTATACTGCAATCAGATGGTTTAAGTTCTGGTTCATCTCAGTTAGTAATCATTTGTTGAAAGGTACCAAGCAGCATCAAAATAATAAAATTTCGAAAGAAAAGTCATTTTTATGATTCTTATCTACCTCTAGATTATTGCATACATTAAAAAATTATTTTATTTATAACCAGTCATTTGTCTTCGTAGTTTGAACATCTTAAGATTTGAAATAACAAAAATTTTTTTAAAAATATTTTAAGTCCTTTTTTATATCTGATTTATTAGTCCAATTACTTCAAATTGGAAATAAAATATTTTTAATAATTGATGTAATTAATCATAGATTAAAAATTTGATCATTGTTTATCCAAACCAATTAATTAATAAATAAATAAAAGAAAAAAAGTCTTGATTATATATCAGTTATGGTACACCTCCGTCTGATACTTATTATTTATGTACTTCTCTATTGATAGTATCGCTTAAATTAAAATAAAATAAAACTTCTCATTTCTTTCAGCTTCTGTCTTTCACCTATTTTTTTTACTCTCTTTTCTTAATTTATTGGAATGGATCTGTATCTTATATTCACATTTTCTATCAAGCAAAACTTCACATTCTTCAATTTTTTTTCTAATATCAATCTATTGGATGTTCCAATTTTTAATCTACAATTAATTGATATTAAGTATTTTTCTGCTTTATTTAGTAAGATGTGGATTAAGAAAAGAAGTTTTTAAGTCATATACTTAACTTTTTCTTTACTTATTTGTTTATTTTTTGCAATAATGAAAAGTGGTTAAAGTAATAAATAATAAAAACTAATTGTCTTTTACAGACATGGCCATCACCATCATGGCCAAAGAAGAGCTGCTGAGTCGCTGTACAGGAGCAATTCTAGTCTGGAGCTGATGGGAGGAGAGCATGGTGGGGTAGATCCAAAAGCGACAACTCCCGTCTTACGGAGAAGAGAATACGGTTCTCACGGTAGCATTGACGTCATCAGCCAGTCTGAGAAGACCGAGTTTTTGGAAATGCTGGAAGAATATAAGCCAGGGGACTGTTCAAAGGTGGATGGAGATGAAGAAAAGACGGCCAGTCCAAAGTTGAGACTTAAATTGGGCAAGTTTTGGGGTGTCAAAGCCACTTCCAGGGAGGAGTCTGTTGTCATAGCAGCATCTTCAGCAGCAGAGGATGAAAGAGGAAGACGGAGAGCCTTTGCACACTTCGATTGCAGGTAAAATCGTAATATTATTGGTTTAAAATTATTATATCTAACAATCTTGATAAAGACATCAAAATTTATTTTCTTGCAGATTAGATTTGTCTGAATATCAAAGTTTTTAATTTCTTCAATATTATTTTTTTTAATGATAAATAAAGTACTCGTTTTCTCAAATGATACTTCTTATTAAATTTATTTATGATGTTTTTCTTTATTCCAGGTCCGTAACAGCTAATCTTGGATATGCTGCTAAGTTGAGAAGTTTGCTCCTGTCAAGAAGAAGGAACACTGCAACAGGGGCATCAGCAGCATCAATGATGGGTTCGACCACTCCTGATGGGGACTCTGGTGATGAAGATCAGGGAGATGGCACTGCTAATGATCTCCTAGAAAGGTTTGTTGTCATCTAATATGCTATAGCAGAAGTTAAAAGACATTTTTCGGGTAAATGAAGAAGTATATTTTTTTATCATTAAGGCATTACATATTTATGTTTTTTTTTTTTTTTACAGCTGTCCATTCTTCCGAAATGAAATAGGAGGAGAAGCTGAGCGAGTAGTTGGCCTAACTAGGAGCAGAGGAAGACGAAACTCAGCTCCTTTGCATAGACCAACCCTTGCTTGTGGTGTTTCAGTTCTGGAATACCCTCCTGGCTCGTCTCACTGGCCTCCAGATGGAGCATGTCCTTACGCCACTGGTCCTAGAGCTATTGAAACTGTAGATAATGGTGCGCTATACTACAGGCAATATTTTTATGGACAAGGTAATAACTTTTATTGATTTTTAACCAAATACAGTTTGTTTATTAAATTCTCCACAATGGTTGTTTTACTGGGTGTATTTGATTGAATACTTTCTTGCTTTTTATCTCCGTTTCGTCTAATTGATTTTTTTTTTTTTTTTTTTGGCATATTTATTCATATTATAGTTCACGATCTATGTTGGGATGTATTTTTTATATTTAGTTTTATATTACATGGATATCTGGGAATGTTGTCAATTTATTTTTCAATGCCTGATAGTTCACTTATGTTGAGGAGAACGTTGTAATATGCTAAATAAATCTATATGAAATTCAATAATAAAAATTTTATAATATTCCAGAACATCAAAACTGGTTTGGAATGGATGACAATTTGGGACCAGTAGCTATCAGTCTTAAGCGGGAAAAGGTGGAGAAGAGCCTCAATGCTACTACCAATAACCTTACATCACCTTTGTTTCGATATAGGATTGTAATTAGGACAAGTGAGGTAATTAATGATTTTTTTTTTCTTAAGTTGTAATTTCATTATAAAGAATTTAAGCAGTAACAATTCCAATTTTATATCAACTATTTGTAGCATTTGTAACTGCAAATATTAATTGGAAATTATTTTCTCTTGAGGTTGGGTAACAGCTAACTGAATAAATATTATAGGAACAAACAGAAATAATGAATTATTTTAAAATCTTGTTAATGATTTTTCCCTTCTTACACGTATAAGTTAAGTATAATAAATATTTATGGATAATATTATTATTTTGTGGCTCAACTATCTATTGACTAGTTTCTAAAAATGGTTATAAATTATTTTATTTTTGAAAAACATTTAATTATATTAATTCTATCCCTCATTTATTATTTTTATTGAAAATAAAATAAATGTAATTTTTATTGTTTTGTAGTGTTTATGAAAGATCTGTGTCAGTACAATCACTAAATTTTTATAGTTTTTTACTTTCACTTATCTATGTATGAAATATAGACTAAGGGAAAGTATTGCAATCGTGAAAATTTTCAAATTTGAGTTTCTACTGAAATACACATTTTTTCGAGTACAATTAAATATAAATGAATATCTGATCTTAGTGACACTCTTGTCGGACTAAAAAGTATTCGTGGCACTTAATTATTGATTATAATTAAATAAAAAATTAAAATATATAGTCGTAAAGGAAAATAGTTAGTGACGAAAAACACATGAATTTAATATATTAGACGAGAAAAACATATAGTAATTAAGTATTTTAAAGATTATGTTGCACCATCTATGATTTTTACTTTCAGTTCCTACCAGCTAAATATTTTCATAGTAGTATTATTCTATTACGGGCTTAGATGTTTTGAGCCTAAAATATCAAATGATGTAAAGACCTATTTTTATTCAAAGTAGGGTAATAAGTGAAAGTTGTGTGATGCATGCACTGCACCAGATTTTTGCAGGCTCCAATTATTCGGTGAGATCCAGTGAGTGTTTTGAAACATTTGGTCTCATAACAAGAACGAATTACTGTATAAAATGTAATTTAATCCATATAAAAATGAGAGCCAACAGTTTCACTGATCGTGAATTTGAAACTGTATTTTTTTATTGTTTTATTTATACTACCATTATATATACATATAAATAAAAATGACTAGCTCCAATTAATAAGAGATAAACCTCAGTTTATGAATTATTTAATTAATTAATATAATTTATGAATATGTCTCATTTTATTATTCTGTACACAGCTTTTAACGTTACGAGGATCCATTTTGGAAGATGTAATACCAAATTTAAAACCAACTACCTCTACCAAATCTATGAATACCAAGGAGGTTTTAGAATATGTTGCACCCGAAGTACAAATACCATGGTAAATTAATCTACCTTACTTAATGAGTATTGATGGAATTATGGTGGAAATCTGTTATAATTTGTATGATTTTTGACAGTTTAAGGTTGGGAATCCCAACTCCACAGACAGAAGAAGCCTTACTGAAACTTGATGAACAAGGACTTTCAAAGCAGTATAAGGTATGATATTGTTTATTGTTAGCTATTCATTATTATTTAATGTTTGTTAAACCTCATATAACATATCCTCACTGCAATTTTTATTTATACTGTTATATTGTTCTTGTTATTAAAACACTTCGTACTAATTAATCAGCTCTTCCGCTCCTTGAAAATTCAAGTAATCAAGTTTCTCTTATATTGATTGTTTTATATTGGTAATAAACGTTCTTTTATAGTTAGATAATATTGTAGGTTAAGCTTCTTATATTTTCTGCATATATTATATTACAAAACAAATCTTTATCCTCATAAATAATTTTCCGAATTTAACTAATTTTTGTTTCTAGGTTGGTGTCATGTATTGCAAAGCTGGTCAGTCTACTGAAGAACAAATGTACAATAACCAAGAAGCTGGACCAGCATTCACTGAATTTTTGGAAACGATTGGAACAAGAGTAAGACTAAAAGGCTTTGATAAATACAAAGCTGGCCTTGACAACAAAAGTAAGTTTGTATTTGTCAGTTAAAATATGATAGTAATCATTGAACATATATTTTTTTAACTATTATCTTCTATTTTTGTTTTGCGTGAATGATAATAAAGCCTCTTTGAATTTTCATTTATTTTAGAAGTTGATTTTTGGTACTTTAGAATGAATTTTTCACCTTTAGCACATATTTTACTATTGTCAATTTTTTATTTACTTTAAAAGGAAATTATTTAAGAATCTGAATAGGTCTTCTTTTCCCTATTATATCCTTATCTCCTTGTAATGATCAAGATTTAGATATCTCAATTATAGGCTATAGCCTATAACACTGTAGTGTACAATTTTTTAGATGCTGGTGCTGTTCTAAGAGGACTCAGTTTTCAAATACTTATAGGCTTTTTGTTATTATTAATAGTTTTCTTGCTATTAATTAGGTTATTTAATTAATGAATAAACCTGTCTCTTTGCCAGATATAAAATGGCAAAAACAGAATTTTAAAAAACAGTATTATGGTTCAGTTTTGGATGCCTAGTTATCTTATTTGTCAATTTTTCTTGTTATGCTAATGTTTAATTCTAACTATTTTAAGCTGATTCAACTGGCCTGTACTCCGTTTATGGTCAGTACCAAGACTGCGAAATCATGTTTCATGTTTCAACGCTTCTTCCATTTACACCAAATAATAGACAACAAGTGAGTATAATACACAGTATGCTCATATAATGTTAACAATCAAGTTGTTATTATTTAATTGATATAAATTATGACATTGCCTTTTAGCTGCTGAGAAAGAGGCATATAGGTAATGATATTGTTACGATAGTATTCCAAGAACCAGGTGCTCAACCATTCACACCAAAAGTCATAAGATCACAGTTTCAACATGTTTTTATTATTGTTCGAGTTATGAACCCATGTACAGATAACACACATTATACGTAAGTAGAATTTAATTCAATAAATTTCATTTGTATAATTTAATATTGATTTGTTCATCACATTTTTCTTATTTCTTAGAATTGCAGTTACAAGGTCAAAAGAAGTACCAGTTTTTGGACCGCCTATACCAGATGGAGCAACCTTTCCCAAATCGAAAGCTTTTGCTGATTTTATTCTTGCAAAAGGTGTGTTGGTTTATGTTATATTAATAGACACAGTTTAAACTATGTTGAATATTAATGGTATATTATAATTGACATATTTATAAATATTTTAGTGATAAATGCAGAAAATGCAGCTCATCAAAGTGAAAAATTTGCTACTATGGCTACAAGAACAAGACAAGAATATTTAAAAGATCTTGTTAGTAACTACATCACCTCTACCTCTGTTGAAACAAGCCAAAAATTTTGTAAGTGATCAATTTTAGTATTTGTTTTATTAGTATTATTATTATTTTTCATACCTTAAATTGAAAAAATATTTAGAATACTATTTCTACATTTAAACACAAAGTGTTACTTTTTTTTAAATATATGATATGCTGTTAATCATAGTTATTTATTATTTAATATAATTTACTTAGTCATGTCCTATTTGCCTATTACAAAATAATTGTATTTTTTATAAAAAATATGCATTTTTAAAACTTTTTCAAATCAATGTGAACGTTGATTGGTGTAGCTATGCTGTCATTCAGCAGCAAAAAGAAGGACCGCTGGAGACCTCGAAGTGGAGCTTTACCTGACTCTAGTCAACCGGGTGCACTTTCTTGGCAGGTTGCAGTAGATGATGCAAGCCAATCTACATTCGTCGACTCATTCTTGGCAATTTCTTCAGACTCAATAGTCGTAATTGAAGAAGCTACAAGGGAGATAATTTTTGTCACTCCAACTAAGTCAGTTCTAGGCTGGTCCACTAATACAAACAGGTTTGTATAACTCTTACCGAATATTATTAAATTCTTTATGAGATGTTTACTTCTTATATTTAAAGATTTCAGGATAAGATACTATTATGGTATTCCATTACATTGTGATGGTTTATGATAATATTACGAATGCCGTGTGTATCATAAATGATGCATAAATCATACAAATAGAATAATAAAAGGTCCCTTAGTACTGAAGACAACATAGTCCGTGGTATAGACCCCTTTTTAGCAAATTATTAACATCCAGCTGAAAATTCATCTCATCGTAACCTACAAATATTTTATTTATGAAAATTCTCAGAATTGGGGCGTTTTCAATCTGGAAGTTGGCAAACTTTGTTTATTTAATTAGGGACTAAAAACTCGTGAATACCCATTTGATTTCCTCTTGAATTTTAAGATAACTTCCACACAAAGTTGGGAAAAAAAGTAGCCTTCAAAAATATTGAGCCATTTGGCATGACCTACACTCCCAAATTGTCAAAATAACGAGATTATACAGGTTCAACAGCCCAATATTTTTGAATGCCACCTTTTTTTTCTATCGATTTTGTGATCCAATTATCTTTCGAACCAAGTGTAAAGCAAATGGGTATTCACGAGATTTTAGTACCTAATTAATAATAGTCATAGTTGGCCGACCTCTAGATTAAAAACGCCCCCCAATTCCGAGAATTTTTGTTAGTAAAATATATGTAGGTGATGATGAGATGAAGCTATTTACATAGTTTCAGGCGGATGTTAATAATTTGATAAAAGGCGGTCTGTACCACGGACTAATAGATTTGTAGATTATTACCTTATTTGAAAATTCTAATTTCATTTCCTCAAGACAATTGTGGGAATTGCAAAGTATCAATTTTATACAAATGTTTAAACGTATGTATAACGTTATCAGAGAAATGATATGATTAGTTAATTCATAAATAATAAATAAATAATTTTTTGTTTATTTGTAGTTTAAGGTTATACTATCATCAAGGAGAGTGTGTTACCCTTCATATGAGAGAAAGCGGTGACAGAGACGAGCTGATGGAAGTAGTTGTGAGGTTGAGGTGTGTTACAGACGGATCCGTCACGCAGGAGCTATCTCTCAAACGAAACCCTTTAGGACAACTTGGGTAAAATTTTACTGTATTTTATGTGAACAATTGAGCTGTGGAATTCTAAAACCAGACAAATCTATTCTTCTTGGTTCACATAACTGGAGTTATCTTGTTTTTTTACCTCCTTTGATGTTTATCCATACATATTAGTAAAAAAAAAAAAAAAAAAAAAAAAAACAATAATTAAATTTAAAATTATTTGGTTTGGCAGCCGAAAACGTCTTGGATAGTCTGGTTTAGAAAGATCATTAAAAACATATGTATATAATGGTATAATGATATTAACATTAAATAAAAATGGAAAACTTTGAATATGGAGGCAAGAATGTTTTTCATTTCTTGCTTGAATGCAACGCTTCCTTATCTTTGGTTTTGAGAAAGCCAAATATTCATAAGTTTTATGCCTAAAGTTAACTTTTTACAGATTTCATGTTCAGCCGGATGGTTTAGTCACTCAAGTTGAAAGTATGGGTCTTGCTTGGTTGGCTGGACTTAGACAAGGTTCTCGGCTTGTTGAGGTTAGTATTATCAACCAAGAGATTATCTGTAAATTACCTGTAAAGAAATGAACTTTTTTTTATTCAATTATTCAATTAATTTTAGATATGTAAAGTAGCTGTCTCGACGCTAAGTCATGACCAAATGGTAGACCTTCTCAAAACATCCATGGCGGTAACAGTCACCGTCATACCTCCTTTAACAGACGGCACACCTAGGAGGTATGGAATATAATTTTTAACCAAACATTCAATTTAATTATCATTCCATTATAGTTTTTAATTAAAGTCATTTATTTAATGTGGTGTCTGATAAAATATTACAAGATCTGGCCTTAAAAAAAAAATTAAACATCATTTTTTTTAATTTTTGTAGAGGGTGCTCTCTTACAAACTGTAAATATAACACAACTTTTGAGGGAGATTATGAAAATGTTAATGGTGGAACTTCTGATGCCAAATCTAAAACTGCTCGGCAACAGGCTGCTTCAGGGAATGTTCGGAAAAGGTAAATTATTTATATTTTGAACTTGTGTAGTTGCAGTAATGCATTTGTATAGTTATTATTTAGTTTTGTTTGATCTCTTTATATTTACCAAGTAAATTCTCTTGTTATTGATTTGTAATGATAGTATTAATTTGTAGGTATGAAAGAAGCTTTTCTCCTCCACGATCCAGTAACAGTTCAGGATATGGAACAGGAAGCAGTAGTAAATCATTTATTAGCAGTGACAGGTTTACCAATATGGAGGTTAGGAATTCCTTAAAGTCTTACTTCAATAATTTTATTGATTTTTTAATGAATTATTTTTAGATACATATTAAATTATTTCAGGGGACATTGACTAGTTCATCAAGCGGGCAATCTAGCGACGAAAGGTGGTATGAAGTGTTAGAGGGTAGCTGTGAAGGGGAACCGCCTCCTCCACTACCCGTCAGGCTGGCTAACTATTTAGGATCCCCTTCGAACCAAGGAAAGGTAAAGAGCAAGTAGTGTTAAATTTTATCATTCATAAGTTTCTTTACTGAATTCCTAAAATATTTGTTAAGGTTTTGACTATTATAAAAAATGTTTTGCTAATTATTAATTATCTGAATAAAGATAATATCATCTGGTAACAGAGCGATAATGGAATTAAGTACAATGTTGGCAAGTTCAGGAGTTAGGTGGTTGCCTAGGTTAATCCTAAAATTAAATAAAAGAACTGTCTATTAATGATAAAGTGGCATGATTTGTGACAAATTTATAGCGATTCAAGATATGTGGAGAATGGTGTTTAAGGGGAGTATGGGCTTCAGTGGAAGATGAATATGTATAAAATGATTTTTTCATGTAGGTGGAAGGAATTATAGACATCATATGGGTTCTTGTAACTGACAATTTGTAAAGAGGGTAGTAGAAATTCTCTGAGCTTAACAAAAGGAGAATTGGTATTGGAAATGATAAGAGGACGGAGAGGGAGGCCTGGTTTGTGATTTTTGGGAAGTCCTTCTTTGCTTAAAAAATTACAGAATTAGGGACTATAGAAAATTAATTTTCTGTTAGTTGGTTAATTTATAAATTTTAAGTTGCTGGTTAAATTGGTTTTAAGTGAAGGAGTGAGGTCATCGGATGTTGAGGCTAAGTTGGATTGATCAGTTATAAGTAAAATCTTTTTTTCAGTAATTTCATTACTGATTCATTCTAATTAATCAGTAATACTAGGAAATTACTTTCTGGTTATCAAATGAGATCTTTATTTATTGGTAAAAGAGTTTTGCAGAAAGAAATTAGAAGATACTTCTCTCCAAAATAAAAAACATCTTTGTGTATATATTTGTATATTTACACAAATTATTATTATTTTTTTTGCTTTAAAAAATAATTTTTCCTGTCAACCTAAGCAAAACAAATTATTTTAGTCCAAAACAAAAATCTTAAATTAAAAAAATAGTTATAATTTTAAAAAACAATTGTTCTTGGTTAGTTGTTTTAATGTTTGGGCACAAAAAATCAAGGTCATCAGCAGCCGATTAACTAAATAATGCTACTTTTAAACTATTTAGGTGGTAGGTTTTAAAAACAATTGATAAATAAATAACTTGAAAAAAATAAATAAATAAAATAAAGTTAATGAACAACTTATCTTTAAAAAATAAATTAAAAAAAAAGTAAAAGATTGGCAAAGGATCGTTAATTTTAAACTTGTCAAATAAATTTTATAAGACTTTCTCTGCGTAGGAACTTGATAGTTTCAGTAACTTTTTCCTCCTGGTTTCCCAGGGATGCTCAGATATTCCAAAATCCTTTAACCTTGTGGTATAAAATGGGTATTCTTTTAAAACATGCTTTATAATTTAATAATTAATGATTGTTTTTACAACATGTGTTTGATAGATGTATTATTTATTTTTTTATTTTTTTAATCATGTAATACATTTGAATTTATTTTTAGTAACAATCGACTTCATTGTTTAAAGGTTCTGGTGTAGTTACATATATAACTCTTGAAGGGCATTTCATAATCTATATATATGTAATGAATGTATGTACATTTGTCCTTTATACATTAGTAAACCATTCATCCAATTGCAATGAAACTTGGGGAAGTTGTTGCGTACACTCTCGCGAACGTTTCTGGTATAGTACATTCATTGTACGATAATTATATATGTGTAAAAAAAATGTCGCTATAGACTGTTGTGTCAAAACAGCTGGAATGATTTTAACAAAACTTGACTAAAGTCTTCTCCTTGAAATCCTTTTAATTTATGTACATAACATACTTTCCCAAAGACAAGCTGCAAAAAATGTTACGATGAATTCAAAATTTTATTTGCCAATAACTAAAAAAGTACATAATTTTCAATTGATAATACCCATATTTATTATTTATAATACCCATATAGGCTTCCTGAATTCCCTACAAAATAAAAAAATAAGCGATATCAGATGATTCGTTGCAGAATTTTGAATATTTACTACCTTTTCTTCAGCAAAGGCCATTTTCCTTTTTTTCCGTTATTGATTATTCGAAAATTTTATAACTACTGCAGTAATTGAAATTATCATTTGAAGAAGTGATATGATTCTCCTTATCGTAGGTCAATACTATTATTCGCTCTTTTTATTTATTTTTTCCCCCAATGTATTATGGAAGTAGTAGTATAATACATCTCAAATATTTGATTTGCTATTATTTAAAAATATTTAACTCTTGAGTAATAATTATCACCATTTATGTTCCTTTTAGAAATCAGTTTTTTATTGATTTCAGTTTATTTTATTTTTTATAAATTATTTTCTTTAACATAACGTTGGAATAAGGTTGTTCCGTTTGGCGTTGGGTTTCTTTCATGAGTAATTTTTATTTTTCCACTACAATTTTTATAACTCTATATTTAATAAAGTTGTTATTAAGGAGAAGCAAGCAATCAAATATCTTGGGAAGGGTATGCAAAACCTTTTGAGGGAGTTAGAAGACAGCTCTTTTCATAATTAAAATTTTGACTATTAATGAATATTGCATTTGAAAGGATATTTTATTAAACTAAACATTTTAAAAATTGATTCCTTTTTCTAGTAATTTAAGTTGACTGATTTGATTCTTAGTTTTAGTGGTAATAATGATAGTATGTCATTGATTCCCTCTTAGATGAATGGTTTCTCCCTACTTGAACCAGCTCAGCATGAATTTAAAGTAGGAGAGAAAGTGACCTGTTTATTGAAGGCAGAGAAAAGTCATGAATTGAGGAGGCAGATAGAGAGGAGCCAGCAGGATTACCATGTGACCCAGGTTAGTTTCAACATACAACCTACATTTAATTTAGGTTACATTTACATTTAAATATAATTACATTACATAAATATGTTGTTTATTTTAATACTTAACTATTATTAAGTTAAAAGCTTATTGCCCATCTGTCAAAAGCTTGCTAATTGTATGCAAACTTCCGTTTTTAAAAAAATAAATTTATGATTATTTGTTTGGATTTTTAAACTTTTTCTATTAAAAAAAAAAAATGAGTTCTGAAAATTGCAAACACTATATATATATATATATATATATATACATTTATTTATTTGAATTTCTAATCCTCCTGGTTCAAAAAAATAATATTTAAGATATAGATCTTTTTCTACTTGAGGACACTTTTTAAATTAATAGTCATGCGGCGAGCACCAGTTATTTTTTTTTTTTGTTCCTAGATAAAGTATTGCTTATATTCTTATACAAAAAAACAAATAATCATATTTAAAATTTATACAAAATAACAATTTCTTCATGAATAGAGACCAAATTTTTATGCAGTAAAAAACTTAAAATGTGCAAAACCATGTAGTAAAAACCCAAAATATTTAAGATTATGTGTTAAAATCTAAAAAGACTGCAAAAATCATCCATTTTGTTTAATTTGTTGTATTAATCAGAGACCTGATTTCTATGTTATTACACATTTTATTTGGTTTGATCAGATTTTGATTTATTATTATAACAAATTTTATAAAATAAATGATTTTTACATGTTTTTAGGTGTTAATTACACAATTTTAAATATTTTGGGTTTTCCTTACATGATTTTGTTCATTTTAAATTTTTTACTGCTCATAAATCTGTCGGTCTCTATTTATAAGAAATATCTTCTTTTTTTTTGTTGACTTATTGCACCACAACGCTAATGGATCTATTGTGCGCCATTATGCGTTACGTTTTATTCTTAAAACGCTAGTTTGGTCGCTTCTGCGTATCTTAATAGGCTTGTTGGATTAATAGACTCATAGCTACTGAGGTGATCCATTCGTTCCTCCCCAAATAGCTTCAGTCTAAGCCTTGCAAATTTATCACATCGTTTGACGTGGAGTAGTCACTTGGAGATTGAACAGGTGATAATTTAACTTACAGTGGCCAGTTTAGATCGATGTAAGCTTTTTTAGAGCTGCTCTGTTCTGACTCAGTAGCAGCTTACTTCTTTTATCACATGGACCTTTAAGGAACAGCTTCGAATATTGTTGTTTCTTCCCTGTCCAATGTTGTTTAAATTTTTCACCATATGTCTTCCTAATCCTTCTTATGGCAGCACTAAGACTGATTCCACAAACAGATTCAGGAGTTATGAGAATAGTGTCTGAGCCTAACCTGGCTAGTTTGTCTGCCTCTTTGTTGCCTAGAATGCCCGAATAACCAGGCATCAACTGTATTAAGATTAGTCAGATTGTTAAGTGCTATGCTGCATTTTATAAGAAATATAATTGTTAAAGATAATTTGCACTGCTTTCATTCATCAGTGCTTCATGATCTGCAAAATATTTTTATGATTTGATTGATCTGAATCAATAAAATAAGAGATAAGCACATAACTAGTGATTAGATTTGATAAATGCAAAATTATTAAATTTTAGTTTTTATTCTTAAAAAAAAATTATTAAAATCAACTGGAAAATATTGTTTAAAAGCTATGAAATTAATAATAACTATTTTCATTGAAAACTATTATATTTCCAATTAATCGCTTATTAAATAGTTTATGATAAAGTTTGTTGGACAGCAACAATGTGGAATGTAGTTACCATCTGCCATGGTTTAATAATTTAGATGTCATGTGGCCACAGTATTACCCCCAGACAAAGCGCTTGGTTGGGAACCCCCTGAAATGGACATAATACCCCCTTAACATAAATACAAAACTAAAAGTAAACAAAATAAATTAATTCATATCTATGATACAATAAATACATTAATATTTTACTTGGTTTTCAAACATTTTTTAATCTTCTTTTATGTGTAGTGTGATTATGGTGGAATTAATCACTTTCATGGAGGTCCTACCAATGGTGAGAAGACGTCTTCACTTCCACTTGACTGTAGCTCCTCTGTTACTGGAAGAAGTGATGGACACTCCACAGACACAAGCTCTACAAGTGATCGAATATTTGGCTTACCAAGTGAAGGTACACTTTTTTCTATTATAAAATTATTGATTTTATTATTGCTAGTACGCTTTCAAAAATTTTACCATTAATTTGTTTGTTTTTTATTATTTTTCATGATTTCTATCTGCTTAATATCTAATAAGAAGTTTGTTCAGTGGTATTTACTTTTTTTTTTTTTTTAAATAATTACAATATCTTCAAATACTGCTGTGGAATATGATAATAATTTATTTTATACTAAAATATGATAGTGAATTTATGTTGGATGGGGATTGCAGTCAGTGAGAACTCATAAATAGAAATAAATTTTAAAAAAAAGTATTTATTTTTATTTGTGTGTTCTTACTGACTGCAATCCCAACTAACTCCCCTACCATATTATCTGCAGTCAATCATTTCTTCACCATTATACCAAAATATATTCAGGGAAGAATAAAAAAAAATATATAAATAGCTAGTCAATATTTTTTTTCTGTTTCATTACAGATCATGTAGATCTTTTGCTGCCTTAACAAGCCTGATCCATCTCTGCCTGTCTTGGGCTATTTCTTTCCATTTATCTGCACACAGCTCTATTTCAACTTTGTTGATTCTACCTATCCATCTGCTTTTTGGACTTTGACATAGTCTTCTGCCTTCTATTGAGACATTCATTGTTATGTAGAGGCTTCCAGATGGATTGCTACGAGCTACATGCCCCGCCAATCTTAACCTTCGTACCTTCTTATCATGGGATATTGATTGACCAGTTCTTTATTGGTTTTTCTTTCCCATGTGTTAGTACTCTGATCCCAGATAGCTCCAGTTAGCGTGTGGAAGATTTTTCTCTCAAATCTTTCAACGCTTTTTTCTAGGGTACTGGTTAGTGTCCAGGTCTCATAGCCATATATTAGAACTGGCTTTATCATAGCATTGTACACCCTTTATTTGAGATTTCTTGATATTTTTTGGGATTTCAATATCTTTTGAAAGGGAGAACAAAGCTCTGTTTGCGCTAATTATACACTGGTCTATTTGTGCCTGTTGGTTATTCATTGAGATTATTGTGGAGCTGAGGTATTTGAATTTTTCTATTCTCGGGAACGATTTTCTTTCCACACAGATCCTGTTATTGGGGTGGAATTTTCGGCTTATTATCATATATTTTGTTTTGTCTTCATTTACTTGTAGGCCGATCAGCTCTGCCTCTGTTAGCGAGTTTCTCAATGTCCTCTTGATTACTTCCAAGGACAGCTATATCATCTGCGTATCAAAGGATTTTAGGATTCATTCTGACGTGGACCCCTCCATTTTCCTGTGAAGTTGTTCTTATAATAGATAGTATAATATTAAATATTAATACATAATTGGTAAATGGTTGACTGTCATGGATAATGAAGAGAAGAATAGTTGGGGTGGTCAGTCAAAAAAGAAGGCAAAAAAAAATAAATGTTATCATTTATTTTTGCCTTCTTTTTTGACTGACTACCCCAAATATTATTCTCTTCATTAAATATTAATATAATGTAGTATAAATAAAGTATTAATAGTAAAATAACATTATACCTCACTGTAATACTTTCTAAAAAAGAAGCTTTTTTTGTTTTGTTTATCATATTTTCTTCAATTTTTGTTTTTCTTAAAAATTTTTATATAGTCATTTCACTTTCATGGTTTTTATCAAGTGTAGTTTTGAATTAATGAAATATGTAATGGCTGTTTATTTAGATGAATTATCATCAAAGAGTTCTCCAGTAGCACGTAGACCAAAATCTCGTGATACAGGTGAGGCAAGGTTAAGACCCAGGTCTCAGCGTAATTCAGCTAACCTTCACAATAGCACATTGCAGCAAGACCTCATTCGCCTAATCAGTCCTGATTATCAAGATCAGCCAACTCCTGTAAAGGTAAACTTCAATTATTATTTTCACCATTTCATTCTGTAATTTTTTTTTTTATCTCCATCTCCACATTTATTATTACAGTAACGCTCGAAATCGGTTTTGTACCAAATATAAGCTCCTTTCATGCTCAAATACCATGGATGGGGTACCGTTGGATTCAGAATTTCACGGGGGGTTAGCGAATCGTATTCTCCACTTTTGTTTTCCTTTCTAAAATAAATAAAGTCAATACAAATATTTTGCTCGGTTTCAATACTGGAATGGTGGTAGGTCTGTAGATCGATAAGGGACAAATTGGATCTTGAAGATTTTGATGCGTTCAGCAAGACCCGGATAGTTCCTCCAGAACTATCGGATCCTGCATTTTCAAGCCCAAAAATGTACTATTTTTGAGATGACGTAAGGCATAGAGTTCGCATCCACACAACCTTACATTAATTATAGTACTGTCATTGAATACATGTCTCATTTTGTCGACTTGAGGTCTCTATGATTGAGAGAGGAGGAGTTTATATTATTTATCGATGATGTTTTTGATCAGCAAACCATATCATCGTTAATTTTTCAGCAAATCTCAAGATTGAGCCACCAATTTTGAAGGCTTCCTTCTCCTTCAGGCAGGCAAAATAGTCCAATCACCCCGAAAATTCAGACAAACAAGTTATGAAAGAAAACAAACTTTATTTGCGAATAACTAAAAAATTACACAAGTTTCCCTTGGTTATGCCCATGAATATATAAAAGATTACTAAATTCCCTACAAAATGAAAAAAAAAAATCATCGAAATTGGACAATTTTTAGCAAAGATACAGCTTACTGAAATTTGTAAACATGTTGGTTCCAAACAAAAATGAAGATTTAAATTAATTTTTGTTTTCTTTGTCGATTATATTTATCAATAAATTACCATTTGATTTCTTAATCTTTTGATACATTGCATTATTTTATTTTCTTATGAATTTGACATTTGATAACTATATGCTGTGCGAATTTTTCGTACAGGCCTACTAGTTTTTAATATTAATTAAATGAGGTTAAGCCAGGTCCTCCGTATTCCCACCCACATTTTATATTAAAATATTAATTTTCCTTAACATATTTCTCCAGGCTATGTTTAATATTTATATTGTTCTTATCAGTAGCAGATCCAGGATTTAATTTTGGAGGGCTTCGGCCCGAAAGCTTATATATTTAAAATATATATGTGTGTGTGTATATATATATATATATATATATATATATATATATATATATATATATATATACATTTAACAAAATATATTACTTCAGTAAGTTCTATGATTCCGATTTCAGTGTAATTTTAGATCTATCTTGGAAATAAATTTCAACAGCTCAATTTTATATTTTGACATTTAATAATTAGATTTCTTAAGCGGCCTAATTTCAGTAAACACCTTGCGACATTTTATGATGTTAATATAAACACTTAGTTATTTTTCAACAGTTTACTTAATTGACTCAGTTTCAATTGCCAAATTTTAAAATATTTTATATCTATTTAATAAAAATTGCCATATTGAAATGTTAATAGGAAACCAAACCTAGCCATCCAAAAATTTAATACCTCTCTCCTTAGTCTAACTAAGTTTAATTTCCATTAACTCCTTACTATAGACAATTGAACAAATAAAAGCTGATACCTGTTTAATAACAATAGTTTTACTTGATTGAAACTGAGACAAGATTTATCGATTAGATCATTACCTAAAACACATTTAAATTAACGCAAATATATCAATGGGTGTACTCTATTTAAACTCTAGCAAGACCTCCCAAAGAGCCATTTGTTAAAACAAATTAATTTAATATACTATTATCCTTTTGCCCAATACAACTTATTTGTATATCTTTTTGTCTCACTTACACATATTCTTATACTAGGGTGCCAGTAAGAAAATGTGGAAGGCATTGATCATCTGGAGTGGGAGTTAGGTTAAGACAATATTTTTATGGATTTATACAATTTGAGATTTTATTTAAAAAGTTAATTTATAATGTATTGTTTGGTCGACTCCAAACATTACTGGCGTGATACTTACTGCTGTTACTTAGATTCGTGTAATTTTCAGTAAATTTAAATTAATTTTTGCTCTGAGTTTATCAAAACAAAAAGTCTTATCTGTGATTGTGTTTATTTCTATTGAAGTTTAACCAACTCATCGTGTTCTCGTTTGTTGTGTGAGCTTCACAAATATTTTTATATTCCAACTTATTTAGTTTTTTTCTTAATGGACGTATTGGTCTGGTTAACTCAGAACAAACAAAAAGTTGAATTTTTTCTGTGGATGTTTTGTTCCATCCATTTTATGAGTGAAAACATACTTACCTATTAAGTATATACCACTATGGTTAGTGCAAAAAGTGGAAATTTTAATTAAAATCAAAATTTTAACTTTTATTCTAATTGTGATATAAGGTGATATTTTGTAGTTTGCAACTGATATAAGCAGTCTGCTACGATGGAAAATAGCAGAGGGCAATAAAATATAAAATTATACTAATCAATCATAAAGAAACAATTAGTTTTTATGATCTCATGCAAAGCACTCAATTTTTGCATACATTAATATGCGCTGAAAAAATTTTTTAATCACGAATCATCAGATATGCAATCTGCAAATATGGAACTCTTTTTCATTTTAATATTTGCCTGATGAACAAAACCCGTGAAAATCATGAGGGATAACTGAATTTCTTAAAACAACTTCTCTCAGCGATTTTATTCTCATACGAAAAATTTTAGATCTTCTAATACAGATAGCCAATGAAAACGGTGAAACTGTGAGGAAGCTATACTGACTTTATTTTTTTTTTTAATAGTTTTGTACTGTAATATGGGTTAAGTTATTGTGGAGGGGTTCTCCACAATATATATGTATATACATTGTAAACAATCCCAGCACTTTTAGAGCTTCAGCCTAAAAGCCTCCTTCCCTCCCCCCTCTGGGTCCGCCTGTGGTCCTTATTTCCTTTTTTGACTCATTCGAAAATGAACCTCCTTTTTAAAGAAATACAATAAGCTAGTGGATATCTTTGACCATTATGAATATATAACTTAAATTTTGTCATTTATACAACTTTGCTTCTAGGGTCCTCAATTATAGTTTAAAATATTATTACTAAAATTTCAGTTCACATTCTCTAATTTTAAGCAAGATAAAATGTTTTGAACTTTATTTTGAGCAAACGAAACACTACTCAACAATAAGAGTTATTTATGACTAAAGTTGCTAAATTTTTTTTACTGAAAATAAATACTAACAAAATCATTAAAGTGCCTCCTGTGCAGTAAAAGAACCTACATTCTTATCCTCTGAAACCAATGTCACATTCTAAGAGGCTTAAAAAAAAAAAAAAAAAGGCATAAATTATTAGAAAAAAAAAATTAGATATGTTTGTTTATTTATGAATGATTAATTTTTACAGGAAAATTGTGGAAATTCTAAACCGAACAGCAATATTGATTCTAAGAACAGGTGCAGAGAAAGACCACACAGTCCTCCTACCCGAGACAAAAGTGGAGATATTCTTACCATGGCTCGCCCAGCCACAGTTATATCAGCAAGTCCAGTTGATTCCAAGGAAGGAAGGTCAGTAAGCAAAGTAATTTTTTTTTCCTTGGCTTATACTTGTGTGTCTGCAGCTGAAGTTAGGCAGTTTTCCATTAGGAAATTCCAAATATTTTCAATTAAAATTTGTCCCCTGATGTTTTTATGGCATATTAGATAAGTTTGTCACTTTCTTAAGGTAATATTATATAGAATATTTCCTCCATAACTTTTATCATATTATTGCTGTATCAGAAACCTGGCTCAAACCTAATGTTCCTTCCTCCTCGTTATCCATCCCTAACTATATTCATGAAAGTCTTTGGCAAAAACTTCTAATAAATCTCCCTCGGCTGACATTCCTCATTTAAAATATCTATTCATTGAAATTTTCTCAGGCTCATTTTCCTTTCTCTGTGTCCTCACCTATCGCCCTTCTCAAGTCTTATTTGATCATACGTTTGAATTCTCCCTTTTGGCCCATATCCCTTTATACACTAATGTAATAATAACCGGTGACTTTAATACCTATTTTTGCTCCAAATCACACGTCAAATCGTACCTTTTCAATCCACTCACCATTCCCAGTTCTCGAGAGTACATGGTTAAATCTTTTTTTTATTTGATTTTGAAGTCAAAAACCTGTACCTATTATTGTTGTGGGTTGATGGTTGACTGTAGTGAATAATTGAAAAGAATGATGGTTGGGATGATCAGTCAAAATAAAAAATAGTAAAAATAAATAATTAAATTTATTTTTATAAATGACGTTTGGGCCCAAAGTCCAGTCCTTCATCAGGGCTAAGAAAAGAAACAGAAAACAATAGGTATGAGAAACTATAAACATTGAATAATAAAGAATTAAAATTAAAAAGGTGAAAGATATAGACAAAAAAAAAGTAGGTAGAAAAAACTTAAAGAAATAAAAATCAAATAAAGAAAAAGTAAAATAGTGTAAAAAAGATGAACGAGCAAAGTGAATCAATATATACTATATAGAGATGGATCATTCATCTTTTTTACATTATTTTAACTTTTTATTCTCTTATACGTAGTCAGTATATTTTGACAGACTTTACAATATCTCAATTTTCTATTTCTATTTATTATTTCCTTATATAACTTCATATTCTTTTTCTCTGTTTTACATTTTATTCTAAGATTACTATTTTTCATTTCTTATGTTACCTTATTTTGATTATGTTTATTTCATTAGTCCGTACTTTATTGCTGTTATTATTATTTATTTCTTAATTATCTATTACTGATATTATTCTATCTACATTATTTTACTTTAATGTTCACTCTATTTACTTCATTTTACTTTAAAATTTTTTCTACCTACAATTTTTAGCCTATACCTTTCACCTTTTTAATTTTAATTCTTCATTATTCAATGTTTATAGTTTCTCATACCTATTGTTATCTGGTTCTTTTCTTAGCCCTGATGAAAGCCTGAACTGAGCCTGAGGCTGAAACGTCGGGATATATAAAAATAAATATAATTATTTATTTGTACTTATTATGCTGTTGCATCTGATCAATGAATTACTTCATCTTCATCGGTCTTTTTTTTTTTTTGTTCTTCCCTACCTTGCCTTTTAGGCTATACGGGATTTTCCTGGGCCGGAGGGTGAGGGCGGGGAATTTAAAATCCCCTCTGGCACCAGGATGCGAACTCGTACTTTTTTAATTTTCTCAAATCTGTTATCCGGTTGCCAGGCAACTCGCAGTGCAGTGCACACGCTTTAGCCCATTCGGCCACCCCGCCCCCGAGCGATTCATTGTCGGTCATATCTCAATACCATTCCTGTCCTCATATTGCATTCCATTAACTCCTTTTAACCCCCCTAGAAATTTTTGTTTTAGAAATATTTCACCCAAGGATCTACTTTCCTCTGTCCTCAAATCCAGAATGAATAGCTATGCTTCGAATCTAATTCCACTCTGATTTTTCAAAAGCCTTCAATTCAGTTAATCATGAAATCCTGCTTTACAAACTCCGAAACCTCTCCTTTTTGAATAAGTTTTTATAGTGGTTCCATTCATTCTTGTCTCACAGATCTCAAACATTTATCATTCCAAATAAAAGTCCTTCCTCCCTCCTCTTACTAACTCATGGTGTTTCTCAGGATCTTCTCTTTTAGAAACTATTTTCTCCACCTATTTTAACAATCTCCCTGATTTCTTACCAAGATGCTTGGTGTGACTTGAAGGCTTCAAGAAGATATAGACAATATCAATGGATGTGCAGCTAGCAATGATTTGAACGTTGAGAAAATCAAAGCCATTCTCATTGGATCTAAGCATCTTATTAATTCCATTCCTTATTATCATCTACACTACCTTGATTAACTACCTGTTCACTTCCACTATCCGTTTAAAAACCTTGGGGTAATTTTTAATCTATACATGTTGGATAACCATATTTCCCAAATTATCCAAAAATGTGTAGCTGCCCTCAAATAGTTCCTGAAATTTCATGATTTTATCTGTTTTAAAGCCCATTGGCTCCCAGTTTTCTCTCTTATTTTTCCCGCTTCAATTATGGCTGCATAGTATATCTTGGACTGTCTGGTGGCCATGAGATTAGGTTGAAGATAGTAATAAATTGTTTCATTAAATTTTATCTTAGGACCTTCAGGTGCTCCCACATCTCGAGTTGGTATGTCAAGTTGTAGTGGCTATATCCAGTTTTCTGACAGCAATATTTCTTAGGTGTATTCATTTTCCATATCTTACAACCGGAAAACCATCTTACCTTCTTGATTTGTTTACTGGTTGTTCCTTTGTCCATTCCATCAACACTAGACTCAGCACACAAACTTGTTTATTCCTTCTCATAAAACTGTTTACTTTGAAAGATTCTTTATAGTGCATGTTACTTTGTTTTGGAATTCCTCTCCCATCTCCATACACCAAAACCAAAACAGCACCAATTGTTTTTCCATCTCCTCGCAGCTATCTATCTATTGAATATATGTAACAATTAAATATTCCTATTTAGTGTTACCAATCTTATTCTAAAGTGATTTCACTATTATTATTTATATTGCTTATCTGTGCAAATATGTAAACATGTGGACATTTGTTTATCTATAATTTCTTATGTTTACTTATACTAGTCCTTTATTTTTTATTTTAATATTACATAACTTTGTAATCTAATTATTATTTGAGGAGTAAATGTCCCAGAATAAAATTTATTTTTCTTTGCTTGCCTCTTTGATCTTGGTGATGTAGTCTATTCATAGTAATTTAGGTCTTCCTCTTAGAAACTTTCTTGTGGTTTTTGCCTCCATTAATTTTTGTGGGTCATGGTTTTCATTAATTCATCATAAATGCCCAAACCATCTTAATTATCTCTTATCTTTTTGTTCTTGATCCGGTCTCTCCTGGTTCATCTGGCTACTGTTCGAGATATTTCATTTCACCAGCAATAACTCTGCTTAGGGGTTTGGCTTAAGGGAACCAGCTTTCATTCTCATTCATATTATATTTTATTAAAATAAATTATATATATTGTTTTATAGTTTTAATTCTGTACCCCGGAGGTAAAGAACGCCATATCCATTTTATTATTAAATAATTTATTAACTAAGATACAAATTTTAATACCTCAAAGTTATGGAACATTTGGCTCCCCTGAACTTATAAAAAATGGACATAGTTGTTGTTTTCCTCTGGGGTACAGAATTATTCTTCTGTTTTGTTTGATAGTCAAATTGTTTGTTGATTAGGAACCTGAAATAATTATAAGAGATTATGTGCTGCTTTGTTGTTACTTATATTTATTGCTTAGATTATTCACTTTCAGTAGGGCAACTCCACCAAAGAAGACTCCAATTCTGCTTCCTGACAGCCAAGAAATGGATTGGTCAAGCTTGGTTGATACTGCAACGCGTGCTATTTTGAGGGGAGATTCACAAGAAGATTTAGTAAATACTGAACCCATTCAACCACAAACTATGTGAGCAAATTAAATATCTATTTTTTTTTTATTACATGAAATTTTCCAAATAAATAAAGATTTCATTATTCGATTTTCATAGATTGTATAAATTGGTAGACTATGGCATACTTTGTTTTTTGTATATGCATAAACATTTTTATAATATATCATGAAATAAAGTATATTATTGATCTTTTTTAGGCAGCGGGAACAGGAACTGAGTAAGCATATTTCTCAATTGGAAACTAGACTATCCCGCGAAACTCGTCGGAGATTATCACTCGAAGAGGAAGTACGTAGCTTAAGAGATGAAAATAGAAGATTACAGCAAGAATCTCAGAGTGCTGCTCAGCAACTCCGAAGGTTCACTGAATGGTTTTTTCAAACCATTGATAAACAGTGACAACTATTTGTATATTTTCTTCATTGATGATTTGAGTCATGTTAATAACCAAGATTTAAATCTGTCTCGACTTCTCATAAGTTTTGTATAATGTTACATATATTTTGTATTCAAGTTTTTTGTTTAATATATTTCAATATATATTTAAATATAATGACTCTTTTATATTTTAAAATTGTTACATAGATTATGTATATATATGTATATGTATATCATTAAATTCCTTTATTTGTTATTGAAGGCATGTTGCACAAATGTATTGTTTTGTTATATTTTATTATTCAAAGAATAATTGTAAATAATATTATTTCATTAAATTGTACAGATTATTTTATGTTAATATGTGATTATGTATACATTGTACGTAAAATGTTTTTTTGATTTAATAATAATAGGGGACCAGTTTTACCATTAAATACAATACAACCTATGGACCGTGTTAGTCTCTAAGAAATACCGAAATTTTTGACCAAGTTCAAATATCCTACTGTCTGTTTTGAGATTGATACTTTTTTGTGCCATAAAACAATGGAGAATAAAAATTATATTGACGTATTTTTATACTGTTATGTATTTTAAATTTCTATGATTACTTTTTTTTTTTAATGATAAGTATTATAGACGTTTTTACCCTTAATCTGTGATTTTTTCTGACATTTTTAAAATTTAAAAATATACCAATAATTCTTGAATTAAATTTTATTAAATTTTAATTCCAATTTGCCTCAATTCACTCAAATGAAAATATCATCAGTATTCATATTTAAATTTTTGAATTACTGTTCTTCCAAATTAATTGTTTCAGATTAGATAAATGGATATATGAATTTGTTCTCAAGTTTCAAGATTTGTTCAGGATACATTACAAATGTTACAGTGACCTCAAAACTCTTTATGTTCTCACAAGTTTATCTATTTATCTAGTCAATCCTGGTGTTTTCACTAGCAAACAGTAATTAGTATCTAAATATTTGTTAGTAACTAGATTACAGACTCAGAATATGTTTAGTTGAAACCAAAATGTTGTATGTTAGCTTGATTATATTATTTCTACTGTATATTTTTAATATTTATCTCTTGCATTTTGTTTACTAATTCACCTATTTTAATACAAAAGTTTTTAAATAAAAACTGTCTTACTTTTATGTTAGACAAAATGTACCCAGTTAAGATATAAATATATATATACAGATGCCTGTATTATAAAAAAATAAATATAGACTAGAACGATTCTGTAATAGTATCTAAATTTTTCATTTTAATATATTAAAAAATAATGTTTCTCTGACTGTTTATAAATTCTTTTATTTTATTTTTTATATACTAAATAATCTTAATAAATAATTTAAATTCCAAAGATATAAATTGAAAGTGAATTAGTTTTGAATATGACAATATTCGTCGTTAAATGCCGATGATTTCATCTCTCTCAACTATTTCATTTTTACCTTTACTCGCATTTAGTGTTTAGTGTTCATATCCTGAAAAAATTATTATCAGATGCCAGCTTGCTAAAAGTTAATTTATTAATAAGGGAAATCAAGATCTGAAGTTCTTTATTTTCCAAGGTATAGTTCGTGGAAACTAATTTTTAGATCTAAAAAAAATATTAAGCCATTCACTACATATTTATGCAAGTACAATCTTATTTGTAAAGAATAAACATTGTGAAACACAAACAATTTTTTTAAACTGAGTAGAAAAATAAAATCTTGAAACATTAATGTTTACTTACCAGCATTAAAATTTTTAGAATTAGCATTATTTAAAAACAAGAATATATATATATGATTTTAAAGAATATTATATGAAGAATAATATTATTTCAATTTCATGAAAACATTACTTAAGAATTTTGCCTAATTTGAGATATTTTAACCTCAATAATATCTAAAATCAAATATACCATTGTTATTTCCTTTTTTGTTAAAAATGAAGAAGTACTGGTTCACAAGGGTTCCGCACGAATCAAGTGTGGTTCACAATCACTTTATTCACACATGTTCATGGAGTGCTGAATGCATTAGGATTTCATCGATACAAGATTCAAATTTTCTGGTGCAATCTTTAATCCAATAGTATTTTCATAAAAAGTATCCCTAATAACGTAATAGTGGATCATTACATAAAAGAAGCCCCAAAAAGTTACAAAAATTTGATGTCAAATCTTAATTCCGACAGTATTTTAATCAAAAGTGCCCCCAACAACATAAGAGTGAACCATTATGTAGAAGAAATCCAAAACGTTACAAAAACTCTATGCGCAATCCTACTCCATGGTATGGGAGGGGAAGGAGAATTTCGAACTGAAGCCTTTTTTTCTCAAAATAGAAAAACAATGTTTTTTTCATTGGCCCATATTTTTACTTTCACTTAACTATATAGTAAGAAAAAGTATTGCGACCGTGAAAATTTCGGGATCTGAGTTTTCAACGGAAATACATGTTTTGAGATCCCCTGTGTGTATGAACAGTCTTGCTCAAAAGTGAAAAGTCTTATGCAACTGAAATTGAGTATTTAAGGTTTGTACATGCCTGGGATGTTTCAGCAACTTTTTTGTCAAAATCGGATAACCGGAAGTATAACTTTATAGATTTAAACATTTTACAATTTTCTCAAAAACAGCTCTAACGATTTTGATTAAATTCATTATATCAGTGTATAATTAAGTGTGGTTTTTAATAAAATCTATGTCTTATTCTTATAGATGTTCTCTTAACATTGTTGGTTAAATGGTTAAATATAATGAATGGAGAAAATTAATTTGTAACTAAAGGAGAAATAAGGGTTGGAAACTATACAGAAACAGCCAAGAAAACCCGACCTTTGCCGATCCTCTCCCTTTCCAGATACCCAATACCACTCTGTACAGGGCTTTCATATTGTTAGTCCTTCATTTATATATAACATCAATAATTTTTTAAAAAGGTTTTCATGCTTAATGTTGAGGATCTATCAGTATAAACCTAATAACATACAATATTTACTAACGTTAAGTTATTTTTCTGATAAATCTGAGTTGCGTGATAAATGTTTTTAATAAAACTCAAAATTTTCCAAAAGCTCTATTTTTCTCCATAATCATTCATATTTTTTGATATCATACAAAGAGGTAAAATTAAATAGAAAGTGATGCATACGTATAAATTTAACAGATTCGATTGGAGGAACGGGAACATGGTAATTAATTGTTTTAAATGAAGTTATAGCATCGTTTTCGCTTTGACTTCTCTATACATGATAATAATTATCTATTCTAAGCTTAGTAAGTAAAAGTTGTGTGATGCGCTCACCACACCAGATTTCTTTATGTGATTGGTCAAAGCTAACTAAAGATAGCCGGGGAGTATTTTCTGCTTGTAAAAAACGACTAAAAGAGGCGCAGCATGGGGCCAGCAACCCTACTTGTGTATACACCAAGCTAAAAAACCTCAAGAAAGCCTCGGAATTGGATTGATAAATTGCAAATGACCTGAACCGGGAAGGACTAAACGATTAATCATAGGAACATGGAAAATGTGCTTAGCCTTCTACAGATAGGAAAGAGATGGATCTTAGAAGATTTTCTTAAGTTGACATAAGATCGATGTTGTGGCCTTGTAGGAAAAAAGGTGAAAAAAAAACCCAGAGAGAATCACTTTATTATCATAAAAAGGTGCTGCCCAATTATGTTGGGTTGCTTTAAACACAGCATACTTATTAATCGCTACAGACAATTTTCCAAAACTAATATACAATTATATATTATTAACAATATGTATGAGCATAGAATACAATTTTTTTTGTTATAATTTTTTTCCCCTATATTTTTTTTTTATTTATTTTTTTTTACTATTTCTGTCGTTCATTATATACATAGCATCAAAACTATACATCCTTGTGCATTATCTTCCTTCTCTCCCCTTATACACTTTTCTCATTCCCTGGATTTTCTCCTCTCTTTTCCTAACCTAATTCATAAAATGCATACAAATACATAAAGTGCAGTGGACGTGGTCAATAAATAATGTAAAAATGCTGTAAAACACGCATGCCTCTCATGAACAAACTCTCTCTCTATCCATGCACATGGTGATGGATAATTCCCAGGGAGTCGAGGATTATATTCTCCGCCAACCTTGCCTCGTCCTTTATGTCGACACCAAGGCCCTCCATGAAGCTCCTTGTTGAGTTCGGTATCGTTCCAGGAGCTCCGAACCAAAGGCCTCTCACGTGGAACTCTCTCGGCCCGAAACTCTCGCAGAACTTTTCACTAAGGAAAGGGATGCATTTCTCATAGGTCTTTTTTTTCTTTCTTTCCACTTTGCCTGTCAGATCGAGGTCATTGGTCTCATACCTCACGGTAGGATCCAAAATCATCGCCGACTTTCCCGTCTTAAGGAATGCTACAATGTCGGCATATCGGGTATAATAGAACTCAATGAATATATTCTTCTCAATAGTGGTCATGCAGAAAATGTAGTTTGCATTGGCTTCATGATCAGGAAGAATTTAAAGCATGCTATTTTGGGATACATGGGGATTACAATGAAAGAATATGCTCTATAAGATTGAGAAGAAAATTCTTTAATATCTCTCTGGTAAGTGTTCATGCATGCACCCACGGAGGATAAGACAGAAGAGGAAAAAGAACAAATTGGGGAGAACATTTGACAAAATATGATGTCAAAATTATTCTGGCAGATTTTAATAGCCAAATAGGGAAGGATGAAAGTCTGGGCAAAGGAATACGAAAATTCACTCTCCAAAAACATAGTAAAGTATTAAAAGTAAACTCTCAAAATTAAGTAATTTTGAGAAGATTTTATGTTCATTTGTATATATATTTTATTTTTTACTGGTTACGTACTTTTTAAATAATGTATATAATATTAAAATTTTTATAAGTTAGTTTTTGGCCAGATTTGTACTTTACTTTGTATTAACTCACCATTGTTATTCTAAAGGGACTTAGTCCCAGAATAAAGTTTAATTTTCTATTCTATTCTATTCTAAAGATAATGGATACAAAATTGCGGACTTTGCATCTAGTAAGAACTTAAAAATATCAAGTACAGCCTTTCAGCATAAAATATCCACTTACAAACATGGATCTCTCCAGATGGCAAAACCAGATAGATCATATCATGATTGATAGTAGGTATCAGAGCGATATTTAAGATGTGAGTGAGGAGCTACAGGGGTGCAGAGTGCTAAAGCGATCATTTTCTGGTACGGATGAAATACAAACAAAGGCTGGCCATCAGAACAAAAGGAAAAACAAAACCTGAAAAATCCTGAGAAACAAGAGCAGTATAAGAAGAAGGTGGAAGAAGAGTTAGGGAACAATTCCTTAAATGTAATAAGAAGGAAGAAGACAGTACCAAGAACAAATGGATTAAAATTAGAGAAGCGGTGAGGAAGAGATATTGGGGGAGAAATAGAAGTAAAGAAATAACATTTGGTTTGATGAAGAATGGAAAATAGCAGTACAAGAGAAGACCAAAGCATATACAAGGATGCTACAAAGAAATACAAGACAGGCCACTGACAATTACAAACAGAAAAGGAATATAGTCAAGCAGCTCTGTAAAAAAAAATGTAAAAGAAGAACTGGAGAGAATGGTGGAGGATTTTGAAAACAAAAATAGCAGAGCCTTATATGGCAAAGCGAGCATTATAAGAAAAGGGTTTCAACCTTGAACCTGTTTTTGTAAGGGTAAAGACAATCAACTCTTGGCAGGCAAAGAGGAAGTAATGGAAAGATGGATAGATTACTTCCGAAATATGCTAAGCTCTAATCCAAATCAGGAAGAAACGTCTTGGGTACCAGAAATGACGGTGGAAGAAATAGAGCTGGAATCTCCAGATCCTGAAGAAGTAGAGCAAATAATGTTGAACCGAAAAAATAATAAAGCACCAGGAATTAATGGGATCCCAGCAGAAGCATTAAAATTAGGAGGAGAGTCACTGCACAAGGAAATATATGAATTGATATAGGAAATTTGGATGAAGGAGGAAATGCCAAAAGAATGGAAGGTGGCTGTTCTACCAATTTATAAAAAAGGGGACAGACTGGATTGCCGAAACTATAGAGGTATTTGGTTATTGTGCACAGTGTACAAGGTTTTATCAACATTGCTGATGAAACGGGTTGTGGAGAGAGACGAAAAAGTGTTGGCAAGTACATAGCATGGCACATGGCAAGTACCAATGTGAATTTCGCTCTGGAACATCTACAATAGACCATATCTTCTCCATGAGAGTTATGCTCATAAAATGCCATGAGTGGAATATCGATCAACACCACCTTTTTATAGACTACAAGCAAGCCTATGACAGTATAGAGAAAAATGAAATGTATAAAAGTTTTGGGATGTCCGCCGAAGCTTATCAGGCTTGTTATGATGACCCTGCAGGACAGCAAAGGTGTGATGAAATTTCAAGGTGAGTTTGACATCGAAAGAATTTGACATCCAGAAGAGATCCTCTTTTCCCAGTATTGTTCAATTTGGTGTTAGTAGTCATGATATCGATCCGCACAAAGTCAGGAGGATGTATATTTGACAGAATGACTCAACACCTAGCATTTGTGGATGAAATAGTCATTACAGGAAGGACATCCAATACACTCTTAGGAGCCTTCAAGGAGTGTAAAGAAGCTGCAAAAAAAGCAGGACTGGTCATAAATACAGACAAAACTAAATATATGTTAACAACAAGGGAGATGAAAGGCACCAGATATATCGATGGAGCTGG